GTTTAATTTTAGGCTCGATTAGGAGCGCCCCCGGGCTTCCGGAACGTGGAACCAAGATGGCCGCCGTCGCCGAAGAAGCGTCGCTTGGTTTATTTATTTAGAGATTTCGAACTTATCCTGGATATGCTTGTAGATTATTTCGCTGGCTCTCGTTTGCCCCCTTTTTCGCCTCGAAATCTTCAACGACGTGGTTATTATTAATTAAATACGAAACTCCTTCGACGGCCGCGTCCCCGGAAAGCCGCGTAAGCGACGCGGAGGCATCCGAGGAATTTATCGCTCGCGATTATTAACAAAACTCTCGAAGTCCTGAAATTTCGAGGGTTTTAGTGCCGCTCGTAACACCCAATCGTAAAGCCCGATCATTGTCTGGCCGGTTTAACGTCGCCGTAACTGCGAGTGTCGGCTTTGGGGCCCATAACTCGGGCACCATGACTTCCGGTCAGAACTGCTATCGTTGACAGTCGGCGAAGTGCGAATAGCGAGAAATCTCTCTGCCAAGTGTGGGAAAAAAGTCAGGCAGTAATGCTGGATTCCAGGATTTTATTGAGGTACTCGAGAGATCTCTCGACAAAAATTAAGGGTCCAACTTCTGCCAGCTCTGACGGTCGGAATGTCGGCCCGTCATGATTTCCCTTCAACTCCTTCTTTAAAATGATTTTTCCTCCCCAAAGGAAAAAATCTCTCCCTCTCATTAAGAGTAGTCTCATTAAGCTTGTACAGCAGAAATTACTTCCCACGCGTAGCGTGCCAAGAATTTCCTGCGACACTTATCGAAGCTCACTCCCTGAATTTCTTAATCGCCACTCAAGGTGCATTGATAACGACTCGGACTGCCAATATGGAGTCGTGATTCACGAGGGAAAGCCAAGGGAAAATAATAACTTCGAATCACATCGCGTCATCAACGAAGCGGATCTCGTCGACATCTGATGTTTTTTTTCTTTTTCTCCTTTTACGTAACTCCGTGGAAAAATTACTGAGAGGTGCACTTATAATGACTCGGATTGTCAATAAGGAGTCGCGATTCGCAAGGGAAGATATGGGAAAAATAGAATAAGTCTCCACTGACACTTGACGACTCGGGTGTAATTACACGGGAAATGCGCGTGGGTGACGCACTCGTGTATCTATACGTGACGTGAGAACAAGAAACGCGAGTCGAGGTGTATTTTTATATGCGGTATTTTTATGCGCGTCTAATTTTAGGCGACGATTCCTCCATCAGGCCGGTTCGTCTCTTGTCAAGTCTGGTAAGAAAAAGTCTAAAAGATGGGAGAGAAAACGCCAATTATCCGGATAATTGGCTCCCCGTGACATCCTTTTAGAGGATTAAGTCGATTTTATAAATGCTCGACTATGAAGGCCTTTTTTTCTAGGGTTTAAAAATAATCCCCCAGCCCTCCGGGAATTTTTGGGAGGCCTATAAAAACTCCCCGACCTGGGATCAAATTATGATTTAGTATTTAAGGGGAGCGGAAATCGACGTTTTAATTCTTCTGCGCCGGTGGGGAAGCTAATTGTCGAAAAGGCAGAAGCGTTTACCGTGGTTTGGTGTTTCTCGAACCGTGAAATTAATTTCACTTGGAGTCGCGTCGAAAAGTACAAACGACTTCCGTTTTACCGACGGCGATAACGACGAGATGGCTCGATGTGCGTCTCGATGTCGCATCCGTTGTCCTGGGTCATGAAATGCCGATTTCAGGGAGAAAATTGACAAAGAAGACATAAAAAAAATATTTTTAACGCGCATATCGTCGCTAACTACGCGAGTATAATGCAATTGTTATTAATGGGCTTGTGATAAATCTTCGAGAAACTCGCGAGAGATGCTCGCCGTTGACAAATGACCCCTCATGAAAATCAAGGCTTCGAGATTATCCTCGTAATTCCTTTGTCTCTGTTCTGGGATAATTTTTACGCGGCGATAAATTATCCTCGCATCGAATGGAGTCATTGTGCGAGGTGCGTTCGAGTTGATTGAACGCCGCCGATAATGCGGCGGTTCCGATGAATTTCCGATTGCACTTTTAATGAATGCAGCCGATCATGCAAATGAGTCCCCGATGTTATTACCGGACATGTCCGAGTCTGACATGGATTTCTTCCCCGGTGACAGGAAGTCGTTACACGAGATGCCCACGACCGAATTATCATCGATAATGGGATCGATATATCGATAACACGGGATCTAGAACGAATGCGCTTTCTGAATAATTTAAAAAAAAAAAATATCGCCGATACGATGCATCTGACAAGGACATTTCTGAGTGCAATTTTCCGGTAACGATATAAGGTGACAAGGTGGCAATAATTTCCCTCCTCGAAGTCATCTTACGAAATCATTTTCCAGGGGATTTCTACACTCCCGATAATTACATAATCGGCCGGTGGAAATTTTAGTAAATGTGCAGTTACCTCCTAACTCGGGCGCATAATGATGCACATTATCTAACACGCGAGGGTTTGCAATAAACGTCACCTCCATTTCGCAAAATGGCATTGCGCGAGATTCCATATCGGTTAAATAATCGCGATAGGTTTTCCTATCGAAGTGTGCAACCCAGGGAATCATGCAAATTACCGTCTCGCGGGAGTTATCAAACATGTCCTGGACTGCAACGAGTTCCGGAATTGTCCGAAATAACGACAACTCGAGATAAATGATTCAACGATCTGTTCGAAAAAGCGGTGAAAGCCACGAATTAAAATCTCTCTCGATTTCAATGACCACTTAACAGTGGTTATTAAATTTTCCGGTTAAACCAACCGCGAGTGCACCGTATGCAAATAGGTGTCCCGAAGATACATCACCAGAGACGCGTAAAATCAGGGTTTAATTTCCGGGGAAAATTCCCTATATAAAATCACCATGTCGTATATATTGCAAAATCACGCGCAGTAGCTTTACAGACTCTCGGTACACGGTTTTACAATTTATTACCCCACTTACAATTTCATTATTTATTAATCCCGGCCAATTATCAGGTAAGATATCATCCTCGTAATGCTGTTAGGGCAAGAAAAATCGGGGAAAAAAAATCATTAAGCCACCCTCCGATAACAGGATAGCCATTACTGTGTGTTCGCCGATTAAGCTAGCCATAAATGCATCGAATCATGCAAATGCACGCCCTGGGGGAATTTTATTGGACAAGTTGCCTCTTCGGCCTACTAACTCGGACTCGTATGAATAAATAAACGGCCCTCTCGAGAGCGTATATATTCGTGTCTCGTGGTGTATAGGTATGTCGGTAAAATCGAAAGTAATAATCGCGCGGCCTTCTCGAACGCTCAATGCTTCCCAGAGAACTGGCACGAGTGACGTCACGACAATTATCTCGGGTGCAATTAATGCACGCGCTGCATTCCCTGCATGCCGAGGTGCACGCCGACTCGGTTTGTGTTGAAAAAACAAGTTTCGCAAAACGAGAGGGGAAACGCGAGAGCCGAACAACGCGTCGGTACGAACTGGTACGGGGATGTTATCACGAGTTTGATAAGCGATCGCCCCGCGGGCCCCACGCGATATCTCCTCGATTCAGGTGGGAATTTCGCTCGAAGTAATCAAAGAATAGGTAAAAAGGGAGGAAAGGGAGTTAAACTGATAAATGAAGTGAAGTTCCACTCTACGAAAAAGAACTAAATAAATTACGGGAAAAAAAATGAGAATTTTAAGTTCCAAGGCCTCGATTTTTGCCAGTTTTAATTTTCACCGATTATTGTAGCGATATCTCCTCGATTCAGGTGGGAATTTCGCCGGAAGTAATCAGAGGGGAGGTAAAAGAAGGGAGAAAATGAAAACTGGAAAGTGATATGAAATTTCATTTCAAAGAGGAGAGCTGTAGGAATTGTCAAAAAAAAAAAAGCAAAAAAATTGAAATGGGGAATTTAAAATTCGTAGAACAAGATCTCTGTCAGTTTTATTTTCACCGCTTATTGTAGCGGTATATGGAAATAATAAAAATGGTATATTCAAATTCCTAGACCTCAATTTTTGCCAGTTTTATTTACACGGATTATTTCCTCGGAAACATGCGAGTTAATTGGGAGGTATTTTGATAGATGTTTTAGGCAGGAGAGATGAAGGGATTTACTTTTTTGTGAGGATTGAACAGTTTTTTCCGAGAGGCTGGTTAGATGGGAAATTTGGAGGGCAATTCTTTTTTTTCGATGGGGATTTTTACTTTATTCGCAAAAACCGGGAAATTACTGTTTGCCGAGCGGCGAACCGGCGCGAGAGATGTTTTTCCGTTCGGTTCGATCGCGGCAGCGATAAGCGATCGATTTCCATCGATCTCGGCGATTTCCAGGCCCGATGGGAATACCTCCGGTCCCTCGGGAGAGTTCCATTACAGACTTCAACGAGTGCCACGGCAAATAGAAGTAGAATTGAAAAGCTCATCGCGTTTCCTCGTGCGCTCGGAAACGATATCTAAAATGGCGGATCTTAAGGTCCTCGCGGCTCCGCCTTGGCGAACCTCTACGCCGTGAAATTTCATTCCCACCGCCCTCGACGTAGAAAAATCTGTAGAAAATATGATATAATTGATATCGCTAATTATCCCTGGTTTCATTTTTTCCCCCGGATAAGGGAAACAGCGCCCGCCGACCGGAGAGTAAATCTCTGTTGTCGATTTCACGAGTCATTAACCCTTTGGCCACCCAACGGGGTGTGCACCGCGATCGAAACCGCATCGGTGGTCGCACTAAAAATCGGATGCCATACCTTCCGAAACCGACGGCTTGAATTATTCCGGAACCACCGAGTCCCGAATAAATATCCCGGCAATTCTTCCCGCGAAGTAGCGGAAATCAGTTAAATTATTCAGCCCGCCGAAAAGCTACACTCGTTCGGTTCCCAATACCGGGCTACTACCCTCGAGCCTCGTTGCTGATGAGCGCAAAAATGAAAATGTAAATGTATATCCCATACAGATTTTTATATTTATTTTTCTGGGGAGTTATCATGTTAATTTTATGTTCCCTTTTGGTTACAGGGATCTGAGACCTGCGAGTCTGGAGAAGGGACAGGAGACCCTTCGGCTTCGCATTTATGCGTGCTATGCTTGGGGTGGACCACTTTTGGTGGCGGGTATTGCCGCCCTTTTGGATCACCTGCCTACTCAACCTGAATATGCCAGACTTAGGCCGCGATTCGGCGAGAAACAGTGCTGGTTTTATGGTGAGTAGAGTTCACGGTTCCGTGGGTTGAAACCGTCGCAGCTGTCTGAAATTCGTCTCTGGTGGGTAACCGGGAAGCGAAACGGGGAACGAAACTCGGCAGCTCGCAGTTCCCTCGCGCGCCGCTTGTGGCGCTCGCGTCGGCCGATTTGTCACGGCCGGCTTCGGGGAAAGCGACGGCTCTCTATTTGCCCTCTTTCTCCCGGCTTTCGCGCGAATCCGCCGGAATATCGCTGTCGTGTTCGCGGCACGTCAACCCGACGCCGACTCGGCGAATCGCGATCCAAATTAACGGAATCTCCCGAAAGGAAGTTGACGAGGTCTTGCGGGATAAATTAGAGAACAACATGGATTTTGAGTAATTTAGAAAAATTTCACGCAGGATTTTTTAAATGCAACAATGCTGCCGACTCGGCGAATCGCGGGGAAAATCGCGATTCGAATTCACGAAATCCTAAGAAAGGCACTCGACACGGTCTTGCAGGATAAATTAGACAATAACTTAGATTTTGAGTAATTTATAAAAATATCACGCAGGATTTTTTAAATGCAACAATGCTGCCGACTCGGCGAATCGTGGGGAAATTCGCGATTTTGATTCACGAAATCCTAAGAAAGGCACTCGACGAGCTCTTGCGGGATAAATTAGAGAATAACATGGATTTTGAGTAATTTATAAAAATTTCACGCAGGATTTTTTAAATGCAACAATGCTGCCGACTCGGCGAATCGCGGGGGAAATCGCGATCCGAATTCATGAAATCCTAAGAAAGGCACTCGACACGGTCTTGCGGGATAAATTAGACAATAACTTAGATTTTGAGTAATTTAGAAAAATTTCACGCAGAATTTTTTAAATGCAACAATGCTGCCGACTGGACGACTCGCGGGGGAAATCACGATTCGAATTCACGAAATCTTAAGAAAGGCACTCGACGAGATCTTGCGGAATAAATTAAAGAATAACATGGATTTTGAGTAATTTATAAAAATTTCACGCAGGATTTTTTAAACGCAACAATGCCGCCGACTCGGCGAATCGGGAGGGAAATCGCGATCCGAATTCACGAAATCCTAAGAAAGGCACTTGACGAGGTCTTGCGGGAAGAATCTGACAATAATTCGGAATTCTTAGGTACTTCATACAATTCTACATGGGAATTTTATCAATATATAAATTTTACCAAATGGATGTTAGGACAAAATCACGCGGGAGGAATTTCCGAAATACAGAGGGGATGATTTTCAGTGGAGCGCCATCGGGTTTGGATGAATTCAAGCGATGGCTCGATCGCGGGGACGCATCGGACTCGCGTGTAAATTTAGGGGTTGCGGGGTCGAGGGTAAAAATTGGGGCTGGGGGTGGCGGAAATTGTTTATCACGTAAATGTCGAGCTCGTTGTCGATATCGGCGCCGAGAGTGACTCCGTGAACCCGGGGCAATAAATCCTGAAGATACCGCACGGGGGATGGAGTCATCATGGATCGCGAGGGGGGTGGCGTGCGCGTTATCCCGGCTGATACAGTGATAACGCGATTCGATTGCGATAACGCGAGGGACGAGCCGCCCTCGCATGAAACGCAATTACCGGAGTCGACATGTCCCCTCGTCGAGAGAAAACGAATTCCAAGACGATTCAGAGCCTCTTAAATTGTCAAAGAACGGAATTCCACCAAAGCCGCTTGAACGTTTATTACAAAATATTGAGGGTGGAGTGCTCCTTATATTTCTAAAGTACAAAATATTGAGGGTGGAGTGCTCCTTATATTTTCAAAGTACAAAATTCCACCAATACTGCTTAGACAATTATTGCCAAATATTAAGGGTACAATGCACCCTCCAGGCACCGACCCTTAACGAGAGGGCGTAATTGTAGACAATGTTCATTGTCGAAGTCCCTCGTTACACGAGCCTGCGTCTTGTACAAAACGTGTTCCCGAGTTTCGGGCTTTCTTCGCCATAGTTTGACATTTTCCCCTGGAAAACAACCCCCTCTCAGGGTGCATAATTTCCAGCACCCGCTCGTTAATTCCACCCACTGTACGTCATTATCAAGGCACGCGAAGTGCGAATCCGGGGCCGCGTTTGCCACCCCCGAAGGCGGTGCTCACCACCCCCTAACGAATCCTCGAAACAGATAATTTCCTCTCGTCCTTCCTGCACTTATATACCGAGGCAAAAGTGCGTCTGCTTCGAAGTCATTTCTGCGGTGGTAAATCAGGATAATGGCGTCCCATGGGAAATGGGGGTGGACTATTGCGAGTCGTTCCCATCCTGACACAATGCCTCCCGCTCGGGGTGGAGCTGCCACCCCCGATACCGTCTCCGGTGGTATCCAGGGTCCTGCACCGTACACCGCACCCTGTACTTGCACCCCATAACATCGCGGCTCGAGACGATGGGGTGGCGAGATAGCCCTGGCGCCAAACCCACCCCTTGCTCATGGCGGCGCCTAATGGCGCACACCCTGCACCATGGCTTGGGTCCGTTAGGAAAAAGTAACAGCTTGTAGGTGCACTTGCAGAACGTGGGGTGGTTAATAAAATTCATTCCTCCGTTTCACCCCTATCAATTATTGAATTTCCCCGGATCGGGGGTGACGTTTCCTTTCTCAACTTTAATTTTCTATTTAGAGGTTTTACGATCCCTTATATTATTTTTTCAATTATGCCTTCCAAGTGCACTCAGAGAACGTGGGGTGGTTAATGAAATTCATTCGATCGTTTCACCCCTATCAATTAATCAATTTCACCGGATCGGATGTGACGTTTCCTGCCCCGATTTTAATTTTCTTTTCGGAAGTGTTACGATTCCTTTTTTTTTTCCCCCTCCTTTTTCCGGAATTAGCTCTCCCGGGGATGCATCAGGCGCATTTATCAGAGGTGCGCGTACCCCTCGCGAGGGGAAATTTCGCTTTCCGCGAAATTAAAAGCGGCGCGAGGGGGTGCACCCCCGACGCCGGCTCCATCACGCGAGACTCACCCCTTGCCTTGTAATGGGAATACGCCCCGCTCCGTCCTTGTCGCGCGGACTTGTACGACGAGGGAAAACAATTTGCACGATCGGTGGATTGACGTTTCCAAGGGATGCGCCGGGAAAACATTCCCAGGGGCGCGAACGGGGACGATTTAATCGCCGCCCGCCGATTAGATTGCACCGACAAATGCACTTTGGTGAACCGGATTCGCCGGGGCGGGGGGTGAAAAATCGCGAAAAGGTACCGAAATACCCCCAAAAATCGTCCCGTTACCATAAAGCGCGGCCAAAAATCGATTTTCTTTTAAATAATAAATCAATAATTAATTCCAATATCATTTTACACCGAAAAGTCAGGACTACAGAAGTTATCCATATATTCATGTGTTACCAGGTAACAATAATTTTGTAGATCGCCGCGGCAATAATTTCAGCCCTTAGTATGCTTTTATGCACCTATGTGCACCTAATGAATGAACAATTCATTAAAAAATCACTTGATATGGAAAAATTAAGACTGCAGGAATTATCTGCCGGGAGATAAGACCTGCACCCTTGTCATGTCACGTATCGTCCCGGTCACGAGCGGCATGTTGACAGCCTCTCTGCTGTCAGGTCACCGTAATTCCGTAGATCGCCGTGACAAGAATGTCGGCCCTCGGATCGCGCACACGGGCTCCTCTCCTTGTATGCACTCGTATGCACTTGTATGCACTTGTATGCACCTAGGAACGCGCGGTGCCTCGTCAGCGGTGACGCGGAGCTAACGAGAGCCGCAGGGAACAAAAAGTTTGGGCAATCAATTTCGGATTATGCGAGTCTCCCGACTCGATTAATTCACGTGGCGAGCACATACGCCAGGCATGTTTCGGGAAACATGCTTCCCTCGGGACTCCGCCATTCCCGGGGGAAATGTTGTCCGCGTTTTGCATCTCCACAAGGGCCTCCGAAAATCCGATCGACAAACGGACAAATCACTTAACGACTCTTCAATTAATCAAGGGGGCCCGTTTTAGCTTTGGAAATTTAACTGCGATTCGAGGAATCTTTCGAGCCCAAAGAAATATTAAGGAAAGGCGGAAACGCGAGGGAGGAGGTATTCCCATTAATTGTTTTTTTTCTTTTCTCCCAGCGAGAAAGAAACTGATTTAGGACCGCGAAAACGAGCGGGGTTTTACATTCGGGGCAAAAAGCGAGGCGGAATAGTTTTGGCAGATTCGGGAAATTGCGGGTGGTCGGCTGGTATTCGGATTGTTATTCCGTCGTTAAGTCTCCTCTACGAGGGAGTACCGCTCTCGGCTTAATTGTACGGATAACGATCGTTAGGACAGGCCACAAGAAGCGGCCTGCGTGTGGACGGGCCTTAACGAACCGCCGTTTACCATGGGAAGGGGGTGGAGGGTGCACGAAAAAATGCATCTCCCGAATTCTTGATAGTAAATAATAAAATAAAACACCGATCGACACCTTGGGGACTGTCCCATGGATTTAAATATATATGTATGTAAATTTCGTCCCCATCGATTATCGACCCTGGTGAGATCGAAAGGGGAGGAACGCTCGGGCGCATTGCAAGTTGTGCAATTACGCGCGGGGTGCATAAGATGCATCGAGTGCGATAATTGCAAACTGGTTTGCCGGCCTCGGGGTGAGGTCCCTAGGTGTTGCCGACCAATCGGAGCGGTCGCGAAATTAATCGTTGCGAATTTCGACGGCACTCTCGGCCCGTGTGCGGTGGGCGGTGGGTGGTGGGTGGTGGGTGGCGAATCGAATCGACGCGGGCGCCATAAAGCATCGAACGGCACGCGCGAATATAATTCACTTATGTTTGTTATGGGTTGCCATGGAGTGAGATATAACCCAGGGAACAGCTATTGTTGGAGACCTGCCAGGCCCAAGCAAATATAGACGCGTGTCTTTCTCCTCTCTCTCTCTTCGTCTCGCAGACTACTCCAGGTCTTGTCTTCCCTCTTGCACACCCGGGGGATAATAATCGGGAATTTGCATAGCCGCTGTCCGCGGACAAAAAGGGACACGTCGAGCTCCCCCGACTCGAGTTTCGACTTTGCTAAAAGACGATCGCTACTGGCCCGGCAATTTGTTTATTTATGGGGGTTTGCCAAGTAGTTTCAACAAGGGAGGCGGGCGAATCTCGGGGGATTCTAAGGAGGGCGTCATGATACAGGAAGCGAGTCATATCATTAGGCAAGTCAATCTGTGACCATTTAACTACGATGTTTGACCCGACGTTTAAAATTTTTTAGAAAAAATTTTTAATGGTTTTTGGCCATTAAATGGTAAATTGGTACTCTGGGTCGAGGGAAGTCGTGCAGTCTCCGGCATTGTTTCGGGTTGTAGGATCGATAAGAGGCTATTAATGGGAAGTTCGACTCTTGGTAGTTGTAAGGTTAGAATCGGAGTTGTCAATTTATTTTGAAACTTGTATTAATTGTTTTCCGGGCTTTGAATGAGGAAAGAGGAAAGACGTCCGGAGTGATGCATACGGTGCAGGGAAGTGGAAAAAGGAGTGCTCCAGATTTATGGGGGAAAGCTCGGAGGAACTGGGTCAGAGTTCCGTGCAATTTCCGAGTGTTTTCCCTCTTCTCCCTTCTCTTCCATCTTCCACCTTCTACCTTCTACCCTTTGCCGGGGGTTTTATTGATGGGTTTGTTTGCCGGCTCGGCGATAACTGGCCATGGGGCTGGCGTGCTAGGGGCAGATTGCACACCCTCGTGGTTATGGGGTTGAGATACTTCCAGAGGGTGAAATAGAGGCGATAACTGTATACCGGATTCGTTTTTCCTCGTAAAAGCCTCGATTCGAGGACCCTTCGGGACAAGGGAGACGTTCCTGGAACGAGGCCTCCCATCTTCTGGGATAAACGCCCCATGGCGACGAAAATTCACCCTTAAAACTGGACAATTCATATTTCGACGGAAAATGGAGACACATATATATATATTTTTTTTTTATGGGGAAAAAATTGCGGGCTTGACCAATCACCTGGGAGTGAGACTTCGAGGAGTAACAACGGCGGCTGGTGACAATACAGGTAACGAGATATCCCTAGTTGGGGAAATATTTTTCCAACCCCTGACTGACGACGCCTCCACTGTTTGCTTTCCTTCGAACTTCTTCGGCGGTTTTTCTTTCTCGCCCCCTTTGCCGACGATCGACCTCGTCGAAGTCTCTGCCATGTTTCCTTTAATAATGCTTTTCTTATCCCTGGGTATTTTTTTTTAACCACGAAGGGTGGATTCCTCCCCCGACTTGACTCGTCATTCCGCACGTAGGAAACTACTTTATCGGCATGACGTGTACTTATATCCTGGGAATGAGTAGTCCGAGGTCGTGTCATGCTCTTCTATGGAATTCTCGTGACGTGGCACTTTGAAAATTCAAAGGTTGAAACCCTTCGACCTACCCTTTGCATTTCCAGCGATTTGCCCCGCATCTGTCCTTTCCCTTTATTACTAATAACCCGGGAAGCAGCCTAAAATTCTTCCCGATTTTTCGAAAATACATTCGATTCTCAGTACAATATTGTGCAGTATTTGCAGATGTAAGAAAATTTACCCTCAGACCTCTTTCTATTTTTTTTTTTTTTTGAGAGAGAGAGCGAGAGAGAGTGAAACCTGATCACATATTCCAGATAATAAACCCCGAACCATTCTAAATTGCCGTTCGATATTCCTGGGGATAATTTCACTCTCGGTAATGCCGAGACTCGCAAGTCGTTGCTCGCATTACGGTGGCTTACTCGGCCACGGTGAATTTTACGGGCGCAATTTGCATAAGCAAGTGGACCGTCATTACCATGACTAAAACGCTTGCAGGCTCCAGGCTGCGTTTCTCCTCCTTCGGATCCAATCAGAAGGTGATTGGAAACGGAGGGCATGCAGACTACTTTGCACTTCGTCTACATCGTTTACCATTATTTCTCGAAGACGCGGCCCAGTGCTCCGGGAGAATTTATGGGGTTTACAGGGGAATGGGACTCTGGTGTTTACGTTGGTCCAGTCTGTTTGCCCCGGGTCTGTCTGCTCCGATAGGTTATGAGCCACATCTAGACCCGGCCTGCAACTGCATTCCATGTCCGTTTTCATCCTCCGACCGACCACTCAACCAACTGCCCAACTACCCGACTACGAAGCCGCCAGTTTATTTGCAACCGGTCCTCTGTCTACAATAGAGAATGAGATTTCTGCGGATACGTGATCTCGGTGCACGCCATGGTGCCCACCGAGTAATGGTCCAGCGCCGATCGCTGATTACTTCGAGTTTCACTCGACGTTTCCTCTTCCCTAGACTCCGAAAAAGTGACAAAACGATCTACGAACCTCGGGAGAATATCTAAAAATATTTTCAATTACGATTCTTCATAAAGAATTACCTGAATTTGGGTAGTCTTAAATTCTGCATCATTTTCTGCAGTTGCAGAGCCGATCGCTGATTACTTTGAGTTTCACTCGACGTTTCCTCTTCCCTAGACTCCGAAAAAGTGACAAAACGATCTACGAACCTCGGGAGAATATCTAAAAATATTTTCAATTACGATTCTTCATAAAGAATTACCTGAATTTGGGTAGTCTTAAATTCTGCATCATTTTCTGCAGTTGCAGAGCCGATCGCTGATGACTTTGAGTTTCACTCGACGTTTCCTCTTCCCTAGACTCCGAAAAAGTGACAAAATGGTCTACGAACCTCGGGAAAATATTTAAATATATTTACAATTACGATTGTTCGTGAAGAATCACCAGAATTTGGGTAGTCTTAAATTCTGCATCATTTTCTGCAATCGCAGAACCGAACGCTGATTACTTCGGGTTTCACTCGACGTTTCCTCTTCCCTAGACTCCGAAAAAGTGACAAAACGGTCTACAAGCCTCGGAAAAATATCTAAAAATATTTACAATTACGATTGTTCGTCAAGAATTACCAGAATTTGGGTAGTCTTAAATTCTGCATCATTTTCTGCAATTGCAGCACCGATCACTGATTACTTCGAGTTTCACTCTACGTTTCCTCTTCCCTAGACTCCGAAGAAGTGACAAAACGGTCTACGAACCTTGGGAGAATATTTAAAAATATTTACAATTAGAATTGTTTATGAAAACTCATCAGTTAGTGTACTCATCGATGCTGCATCATTTTCTGCAGTTTTTTTATAGGCTCTCTTTAGCGCGGTTCAATCGTCGTTTTAATCGGGACTGCTCCGGAGGGTTGCATGGATTCTTAGAGTGATGTTAAATAGTTCCGAAAATTCGCTACAACTGCCGGAAATTTCTTGCAATCGAATCGATGACGTGTACTTCCGGTGTTCCGTGGGTTCGCCACTTCTTCGCGAATCGCACAGGAAAAAGCAAACAGACCTGGGCCAGTTTCTGGCCCGGAATTGCGGTTTATTTTTACGTTGTCTGGGATTTTCGACTAATGCCCGGCTCGACCTCGATTTACCTTTAGGATCGATCGCGAACCGCGGTTCTCCGATATTCCGGCTGCATATTAATCGTTCCCTGTGATCTCGGATCATTTATTGTCTTATCCAGCGCCAGATGCCTCATTGGTTATTCTCGTTTAACCCAACACCGTTCTATATCAAATTTAATTGCAAGAGTTTCGACCGATTGCCAAAAGGAAATCGAATTATTACAGATGAATTAAGTATTTTCATGACAATCGGTAGACGGCCCTTCTCGCAGAATCGCGATAAATAAATAAAGGTCCGTATATGCGACCGATGATCCGAGTCTAAGTCCAGATGAGAATGCGCATCAAATTGAATCATCTCCCAGAGATCCACATCCGTGATCCTTGATAAGTTATATCTGGAATGAAATCTACTCCTGAAAGGAATTTCAAGGATGCGAGGAGAGAACCGTGAGAGCAAGTCGAGAGGCGTAGCGGAATAAATTATAAAATATTCCAAGAATTGTTATTTAATTTTTACACCTTTTTTTCTTCGTGGATTCCAGGTGACATGGAGATCCTGGCGTATTTCTTCGGACCCATAGGAGCACTTTTGGCGGTGAATCTGCTATTTTTCGCTGCCACAGCCAGGGAACTCACCTGCGGCTTGTGGAAAGGCGAATTCGTTAAGAGCACCACGGAAAGGTGAGCAGCATAATCAAATTAATAAAATAAAAAAATACTCAAATGTTGGTATAACCGACCCTAAGTTTTTCATGTTTGAAATTTCAAGTGTGATGTCACTTGCAAAGCGATATCGCCGGTACTCAGTATTTGAAAGGGAAAAAATTAATAAAATAAAAAAATTACTCAAATGTTGGTATAACCGACCCTAAGTTTTTCATGTTTGAAATTTCAAGTGTGATGTCACTTGCAAAGCGATATCGATGTCGATATCGAAGGAATGCTCGTGACGCTCCCTTGCTCGTAACACCGCCAGCGATTAATAATTGAACGGTACCAAACGTGCGAGGTTGTTGCCAAGTGTGTTAAACCGACATCGCTCGCATAATTCCGCAACTATAGCGTCTCGTACCGGCGGGTAATTTTTTCTTCCTCTTTCCTCGATGCCACGGCATTGCATTAGCCCCGATGCGGCACTATCGAGGACGGCTTCCAGTGCAACGATGAATTAGTTAGACGAGGGACAAAAAGTACCCCTGACTAGCACGGAAGAATAATGGCCTGTATAAATAGCGGAGGTTTCCAGCAAGCCGGAGACGCATTAAAAGCCTTATTCGCATAATGCACAATGGAGCGAAGTGCGTCGAAAAAAGGAGCGCACTAAATTCCCGGAAACCCCACACCACCCCGAGAGAGAGAGTATTCCGTGAGAAGGAAACTTTTTACTAATCTCTCGGTGTGATATTAACCTAATCATGCCGTAATTAACAGTCCTTGAAACGAAGGGGAGGATTGAATTACGAACACCTCGAAGACGCCACATTTGTCTCGGTAGGAACGAATGATCAGAAAATGCATCTAATTCCGACCGACAGGTGCTGCCCCGGCGTAGCAGTCGAAACAACGAGACTTCGATCGGAATGCCAACCGCAGAAAACCGAGATGGCGCGGACCGGTGTAAGGTAGTCCTTTCGCGCGTGTCGCAAAGAATTACGCTCCTAGACTAAAAACGGAACAGCGCCAAGGAATGCAACGTTGCGGCGCACCTTGGCCGCGGCCCGGCTACGTCGACGAGATAGGCCGTGCGTGAGATATGGCAACGCCGCGCCGATAATTGTCGCACATCCCAACGATGTCGCGCCGGTCCATTCCGTCGCGCGACGCCGCCACTACCGAGTGACTCGTTACTCTTGCCTAGCATTCTTTGCCCCTGGGATTATCATCCACTAATCCTTCCTTTTTGCAGGACCCACGGACTGGTTTGAACCCTGTCGATGAATTATGGATCCGGTGAACCTCGATTTGCGTCCGGGGTGAGTGTAAAACAATTCAATAGCCATGAATTATTTCTAACAGGATAGGAGAAGCGAGGTTATGTCGTAGAGTGGCGGAACGGACCTCGGATCGCGCTATATCTTCGTGCACCGGAAATGGATACACCCGGGAGATATTAATGTTAGCGTTGTCGCCTTAATTACATGTTCTGTCGCCGATAATAAATGAAATCAGATTAACGATCATCGTAGTTTTATTGGTCCTCCTTGCTGACGCCCAGAGACTGAATTCTGGGCGGCGTTTGGTGATGGACGGTCCTGGATTTTTGTATATCTTTAAAGATATCTTGCCATCATTTGACGGTTATCGTCGGAAATCTTGAGATCTGAATTTCCGGGAGTGAACTCCCGGAAACTCCAGAGACCTACTGAGTAGGCAGAATGGAGCTGCCCCTAAGAACCTCCGATTCAATTCTAATCGGCCGACGTGGCGAACAATTGCATCGACGATGCGAATAGGAGCCACCTCGACGACCCCTGTGGAAGGGACTCCGCAATCGCAATCGTGGGTTAAATGATGAGAGTATTCTCACCGCGTCCTCTTCGCGGCTGGGTATTACACGGCTGGCCTGTTCAAAGCGCCGCACCGCCGGCGGGTGCTGCTCCTCCGGCATCGTTAATATAAATTACCGGGTCGTACGAGGGACAACATTGAACCTGCCCCCGCCGACATATTACCAGATTCCACGGAACGTCTATAATTTTCTGCGAGCCTCTTTAATATGCGTCAGCATCCACCGGTAGCCACCGAGGGAATCTCGGCTCGCGGCTCCTATCGAGTGATGCAGGAGTGCTGCAGGAGTGCTACCCGGGTAACCGAGGAATGCCTATGGTGCTACGCCATTTTCTACTTAGGGTCCTTACACAGGACCCCTTGGCTTCCCGATAGTACCACCAGTTTAACGTCCAAAGAGCTCGTAAAGGTCCGATAAGGGCGCGCCTTAGCCGGGAAGACTCGCCGATAATCGGACCCCGAGACACGTTCTCGAGGAAACCCGGGGCCGGGGTGCTAATCGAGGTCGCTGACGAATTTGTAGCCCGGTGCTGGATGTACTTTACGGAGTTATGTCAATTTTACGTATTCCTGTACTCGGGGAGGAGATAGGTACACACGGGAGAACTCGAGGGATCATTAGTTATTGGTGACCCTGGTCGTATTTCCTGCGCCGGTTACGAGCACTTCTGTCTCTTATTATGTGGTGTTACACGGGAAAGGGGTTCCCCGGAGTTTAGTACACGGTAATTTGTTTGTGCGGTTTGATGGTCCAATTAAGCGTGGTAATTGCCGGCTCGGGGTGCACTCTCGATAGTCGGTACCCCGCGGTCATCGCGGCGTATAGATTTTCTCCAGAGCTGGACAGAGTCACTTTTTAATATTCTTTTGCCAGATCGGGGGAACTCGATCGAACGCACTGCGAAGAATTGCTGGATCAGATGTTACGGAATAAGACCAAGCGGTTATGGAGTCTGCAGGTTTAGTCATGGGGCCTCGACCACGCAGAGTCTGGATAGACGCGCACGCTCACAATCGGCAGATTCGTAATTGCAGATGAGGAATTAACGCGATTGCCAGGCCGGTCCGCCGTCTTTGGCAATTTACTTTAAATGGAGATCCGGGAAGCCAGAGGCCTCCGTAAAAACCAGCGGCCCTTCACCTGTCACTTAAACGAGCAGGGTGCTTTCTCGTTTTACGACAGAGTTGCACCTTGTGAATGGCGACCAATTCATTTCAGCCCGTCGTTCCTCTACGATCTAGTTTCCGAACTCGTTGCCCCGACTGAAAACGCGAAAAATTCATACACTTCCCACGACTCTTGCCAATCTTTTCTAGAGTTTAGTCACGTTAAGGTGATAAGAAAGAGTCAACCTATATATATCTGAGAAGTCAAATCATTGGCGAATGTATTTTCCGAATTGGGAATACCGATTTGTTTCAAATTTAACCAGAGGAATATGGAGGCCTTGAAGTAGATCCTGAGGCTCACGAAATTTCGTTTTTCATCTAAAATTTATTTATTTATCATGGACTAGAAGCAACATGGCGTGGTCCGGGCACGTTTTCGATGTTTTACGCTTCTCGGAGGCTTATAATCGAAAATGAAGAGTTTCAGGATCTAGCTCGAACAATTTAAAATACCGTAGAAATGGAATATTACGGAGTCAGATGGGAAATTATGGAAAATAATTTCACCAACGATTGCAAGAGAATGCTGAATCGTCTCTTGGCTAACGCGTGTTTTGAGAGCAAAAATTTAGTTCCAGCTAAACGTCACAGATGGCGACGTTGTTCCGTCATAATACAAACAGTCATGAATTCACGGGATTTCGACTGTTTTACGTCGATCTTCTTATCATTACTTTACCGAAATGACATATAGAATGCTTCAGTCTGTACAATTCTCAGCGTAGACTGTAAAACACTTAAACATAAATATAAAAAATGTCGGTAGCAGGACGCGCCAGCTTATGTTACCACTTGAGTATTCAAAACGACATTATCACCAAAAAGGGTATAGATGAAATTTATTTTATCGATGTAGATCAAATATCTCAGCGCCTTTCGTATCATCTTAACTAAGGATTACCCGTGTTCGATCGTATCTTCGCTTTTTCTCAACCGCCCGGCATTGAAACTTGGAACGTCTATTTAAAAAAGACACCTTTTGGGCGAGGCATTTTCTTCGTATGAAAGCCTGCAGGTTGCCCTTGGTTTTGTTATGAAATATTCTAGCTATACGTTAACACCGGCCAGCGGTGGAGCTGCACTACCAATAGGCCAAATTGACATGTCAACGTTGCCGCGCGGACCACCTCTGACGTCGGGTTAATAAAGCATCCGTGGAATTGAAAAACTCGTGCGCATGCGCCATGTCGGCAACCGGACGTGGCCGGCCGATCGGCAAGGAAGAATGCGAATCGGTTGCGTTGTAATTGTCCTCGGCCGTCACGAATTCGCGGAATTCATTCCGCTGAGCCGGAATTGTGCGATTCCTTGCCAGGCGGCTCCTTCCGCGAAGTCGACGCTCTTCCTTCGTAGAGAGTCCTCCGTTTCGACATCGGTGAACGTCTTTTCGCGTCCTCCATGATAGACGCCGATTCATCGACCTAACCTAACCTAAGCTAACCTGTACGCTTTCCCGACCAATTATAGGAGACGCGATGGAAATTTAAAAAATCAAGCAGCATCTTTTCGCGTCCTTCATGATAGACGCCGATTCATCGACTTAACCTAACCTAACATTCTACAGAAGAGTACGCTTTCCCAACCAATTATAATAAACGCGATGGAAATTCCAAAAATCAAGCAGCATCTTTTCGCGTCCTTCATGATAGACGCCGATTCATCGACTTAACCTAACCTAACATTCTACAGAAGAGTACGCTTTCCCAACCAATTATAATAAACGCGATGGAAATTCCAAAAATCAAGCAGCATCTTTTCGCGTTCTCCATGATAGACACCGATTCATCGTCCTAACCTAACCTAACCTTCTAGAGAAGTGTACGCTTTCCCGACCAATTATAATAAACGCGATGGAAACTCCAAAAATCAAGCATCATCTTTTCGCATCCTTCATGATAGACGCCGATTCATCGACGTAACCTAACCTAACATTCTACAGAAGTGTACGCTTTCCCGATCAATTATAATAAACGCGATGGAAATTCCAAAAATCAAGCATCATCTTTT